ATATAATATAATATAATATAATATAATATAATATAATATAATTATATTATATTATATTATATTATAATATAATATAATTATATTATATATAATATATAATATTATAAATTTATAAATAATAAAGGCTATTAATTCTAGCCTTTAGCCTAGAAGATAATTTATACCTGTTTTTTTCCTGATGAAACTTGTTTTTGCTGTGTTCCTGTGTAACTTCCATGCTTAGAAGGGATGCACAAGGCATCTTCATATTGCTGATGGACATCCCACAGGACATCTCCAACAGGTTTCACACCTAGGGAAGTCATCTGTGCGAACACAGGGTACAAACCTGACTGCTCTTACCTGGGGATCTTGGTCCAAAAATATAGGTGGATGATCATATTTGAGAGTGGGGAACATGGCAGGTGCTGGAACCATCACTTGGGAAAGCTTTTAGAGGAGAGGTAAAAGACAAGACCCTGACCCCTGCCATGAGCAATCTGGCAAGACATGAGCTTTAACATTCTGACCATATGCAAGTTTGCCATTACTCTTTCCAACTATACATATTAAAGTATTGCCACAATTCTCCTACTGCACCCTGCCCATGCTGCTTTTTGGATTGACTCCATTCCTTATACCTTCTGTCCAGTTTGTTGGACATCCATTGTCATCCTGTAGCACTTCTTGCTCTCCCTTTAGAAGAGTTTGATACCCACTTGTTTTTCTCTCCTCTAACCACTGTGCAATCATTTCCCCCCTTTAACTTCCCATCACTGTGTTGCTGCTCCACCCTCAAGTTCCTCATTTCTCATGATGGTGCTTTTGCAAGTCTTTCCACTTGCTGCTCTGGGGCACTTTGTGGGGAAAAGTTACTAGTGCTGATCTTCTGCAGTGATTCAGGAACAAATTCCATTTGTGACTTCTGGCCAGATGCTCAGCACAGCTGGATCTTTGGGAACTACTGAAGCATAATGCAGTGATTGTGTCCTGTGGCATGGTGGTCAGGACACACTTGGTATGCCAAGGAAGAGCTATGAGGGAGAGGGCCAGGGACACAAAGGGGAGTCATCTTTAGCTTTTGATGTACCACAGACATAACACTTTCCCTAGGTAATCCTTCTTTTATCTTTTCTTTGTCCCACCTGGCTGCATTTGTGGTGGTCTGAGATAGCTGCCTTGAGATCAAGAACACTTCCCACAATGGCCTGTGCCTCTGGCAGCATTTGATGTTCAGGAGGTGTATGCACAAGCATACACCCTACCTATCCTCACATATATAACTTGGGGGAGCAGGACGAAGGAGCCACCAATTGCATTTTTTTTCCCCAGAACCTGTTTCAAAATCAGCACTGATGCCTCTCATGGGCAGGTTTTACGTGGCAATGCTCATGCAGGGTTGGAGGGAGCAGCACATTCCAGTTTCTCAGACTGCTTAGCAACCAGGGCTGGCTGAGCTGCTCTGAAGTGCACACCAAGTGTGTGGATGGCGTGTCTAGTACTGTGGCTCTAGCCTTATTTTTTTCCCCATCTCTTGTTTTTGAAAATCACTCCTTGTTTTCTATTTAAAGCATCTGAAAAACTGCTGGAAACCAATTTTTGCTTTCCTGGACAGCTGGAAGTCAGTTACACTATGAGATGATCAAAGCTACAATAAGAGGATGGGAGACTTGGAAAGACAGGTATGGCACTACCAGCCTGCTTTTTGGGAGCATGACTGCAGGACGATGTCATTCATGCTGCTGGTAATGGGCTGGCTTGAAGTCCTGCTGCTGGACAGCCATGAAACCAACTTGTCCAGAGGAGTGCAGTGAGTGGAACACATTGCTTTCCATGGGTTTGCAGCATGTGAGATTCCTGCTCACGGCTCCCTGTCTCAGGACAACCAAGATGCTTAAGATCAAGAAGGCCCCATTAGACCATTTCCAGGAATGGATTCAGCTTCATAGACAGAAAGTCAATATGTTCCTAGCTTACTCACTGGGATCCTCTTGAATCGTTAGGTAATCTCTTGCCTCTTATTTTTTTCTTGGCTTTCAAATGCCCAGACCTGTCTCCCTGCCACAACCTTCACCATCCGTCATGACAGCAGTCTGAGATTCTGAGTCTGTTTGGGGTTCTCTTAGGAACTGAGCCCATCTCTTTCCATGTTATCATGCAGTAATGCCTGTTGCTGAAACTTGCTGCTGACATGAGGACTGCAGTTAAAATGTGGTCCCAGCTCATGTCCAGCTCCATATTCCCCTTGCACCCTCATCTGCACTTGAGAGGCAAATTTTAGGGAAGCTCTAAAGCTCAGAAGAGGATAAAACCTTTTTTTATACATGCCCAAGCACACTCTGGTTCTCCTCCATGAAGCAGACAACTGGCCTGGAAGGACCAAGGATCATGAAAGATTGTATTATATGGGGCAAGACACTATAGGACATGTTAGCAAACATCCTAAGTTGCTGACTGAAAGAGCGAGTCAGGAGCACCCTGACCGAAGTATGACTTTGGCCTGCCTTGCTTTGGCCTGCGACCCCCAGCAGCAGCGTAGAGGCAGGCCCTGCTTTCCTGCTGCTCTGTGAGCCCCACAGGTCATGGCAAGAAGGGGAGGAGCTGCAGGGGTGATGAGCATGGTCTGAGGAAAATGATGGTCACGTAGAAGAAGGCTGCAAAGGCTGGGGTGGAAGCAGAAGAGAAGGAGCAAATAATGCCAGACATGTTTGGAAATCTGATTCCATGTATGAATCCTTCAGTGCTGCACACCTGTCTTCCTGCATGTCCCTAACAGGGTAGTTTCATAATAGAAATCCAGGAGTCCTCAGGTGCAAAGGCCCCAAGCAATTTCCATCCTTAGTTACCTTAGTGTAACACCAGTTTCCTTGTAACCATTCCCAGATAAACTGCAGTATGGGTGACCCATCGAGGTCCTTGGTGCAGAGACTGTGCTCCTCTTTCCTTCTTGTGAACCAAAATTTTGCACAGAGGACTGCAGCTTTGAGAAATGATTTTCATTCCCTCCCTGCCTCCAAGATACCACCACTTCCCTCTTTTCCTCACCAGTGCATATTTCTGTGGCTTAAATATAGCAAATACAAAACAAGTGCAGCACACACAAAATGCCATTCGGGGGAGCGCAATGAACATGCTGCCTCTGTAACGTAATGAGCCCCAAGTGCATCTGCCAAATATTTGGACTGAGATTCCAAGGGAGAGGGGGTGGTCTGAAGCACAGAGAAGCTCAGACCAAACCCTTAAACCAGTACCCCAAGGCATCTCTTGGGGGGACACAATTGGGGGTTCCTTGTTGGTCCAGCCTGCCTTCACCTGGAGGTGATTGACCACTCATAGCATATTTCCTCTAGGACAGGTGAAGAGCAGCTTTGTGTGAGTGTATTTAAAATTTACAAGTAATACATAAAACAAATAAGTGTTTCTTTAGGGGTGTGTTCTGGCTTTGTGGCTGAGGTTAAATGACACCAGTGAAACCATGCCAGTTTTTGAACATCTGACCCTGTGTACTATTTTCAGTGCAGTGATTTTTGAAGTGATTAATGACAACAACTTGGCACTACTCAGAGGCTGGTGTTGCTGATTAAGCTAACTCTTCCTTGGCTCACAACAGGCATCAGGAATAGAGTGGGCAGGAAGCTCCCCAGAGTGACAGAAGAGGCAGAGCACATCAGGACCTCCTGAGCTGCCTGCGTTTCGATGGGGAAATTATTAAAAAAAAACTACCAACATCCAACTCTAGAGCTGAGCTCAGCAGTGCTGGAGTGCTCTACTCCTCCTGCGGCTTTTTCTTTGAGAATATTTTTGTATGGATTCTTTCCAACATTCCCACCCCTCTCAATAAAAACAATGAGCCTCCCTTGTTAAGTGTGTGCTGGGATTGCTAGTGCGGCACTCCTTGCATGTGTTTGTAGGAGGATCTCAGAGATGCTATCTGGTTTCAAATCTATCTACATCTATAAAGCATCTCTCTTCTCCAAGACCCTCAAGTAAAGGAAATCTGTTATTTCAGTGTGAAGGCACTGAGCAGGACTCTAAAACTTACAGGAGCTCTCAGTTGGCAAACTGCACTTCTACACAGTCACAACCAACAGCTAAAAAGAGCATGGTGCCTTGTAGACAATATCCATGTTCACAACAGAGATCTTCCACTGCTTTGAGCTACCATGAAGTGAGAAGGACATGAAAAAAGCTCCAGTTATACCATGGAGCCTGAATGCTGGCCAGTCTTGTTAGCCACTGGAATATTAATTACAAATTAGAGAAAGCCATGGGGCTCATCTGTGAGATTTTATAAGCTCATCTCCCTGAGGTCCTGCAGGAGTCCTTGAAAATTTAATAACTATGTTGATGACATATACTGAGTATATTCACAGAGCTTTTAGCTGTCCTGCCAAGCCCCTCAGAGAGGCTGCCCCTCTCTCTTCTGCCACAGGTGGCTGTGACACCCCTCCAGGGAACCTCCTGGATAGCGCTCCACAGCTGCCATACCTGAACCATAGGTGCGCTCCTCAGGGAGTGAGGAGGGCTGGGGGCTTTTCACTCTGGTGTTACACAGCATGAAGAGAGGATCACTTGCACAAAAGCTCATCATTGCAAGTCACTTCCCCTAGGGCTGGGCACAGGGAGGGCAGGAAGACAGAGCTGGCCTGGGGAGCAGACTCGTGTGATGAAAGGGGAGCTTTTGCAAGCCCTTGTGTGCACTGCTGTAAGGCACCTCAGCTCTCTTGGAGTTTTTGGGGTAGTTTTGCGGTTTGCTTCCCAGGGTGGTCATTTCACCCAGGGTTTTGGGCTTGAGCATTTATTTCACTGGACTATTTTGAGTGTCTTTTCTTCTCTGTGGAATGGGTTGTGATTAATTGTAGGCAGGTTCATGCAATGCCACAACATGGGCAGTAAATCCATGGCAGGGCTCTGGTTAGTGATGCTACAGGAGCAGCCCGGGTGCTATGATGCAACAGAGCAGCACCAAGTGCAGGCAGTTTTCCCAGTGGAGCATAACTAAAAGCATCACTGTGCACTGAGGGAACCTAACCTGGGCCCATGTGGGCATTACCTTAGCTATATTACCTTAACCAGGGTTAGAGGCAAAGCCCAAGTAAATACCACTTTAATGGTAAGTGGCTGCTGAAGGGCTTCCTCGATGAACCTGCTATCACAGAGATGAGTCTTCCGGACTCCTGCAGTGGATCTGCCTCCTGTTGCCCTGCAGGTGGGAATGCTGGGCTGTGGACCCCGACAGGCACCAGCCACATTTGTTGCCACTGCTGCCAGGCTGGCACCAGGGCACTGCCATGGTCAGCAAAAGAGCCCAGGTCTTCAGCAGTGAAGAATTCCTGGATTCCTGTTTCCATGCCCTGAACTGACACCTGGAGGACCGCTTGTTTCCCTTGCTCCTTCTCACACACACTCACTATAGATGAAAAGGAATATAAGGTACCCAGTTTGAGAAGCTAGAACACTAAATCTCAGAGAAGACTGGAATGGAGGTCATCCATTTGGGTGCAACCAGATGTCTTTGTCCACTGCTATCGGTTCAGGCAAGGGCTGGTCACAGTGGGCTTCTCCTCAAAATACCAGTTTATTTTCTCACTCTCTGTGGCTTCCTGTCTTTCTACTTCACTTCTTCCAAGTGAAGTGAAGTGAACTTTTATCAACTATTAGAACTCCAGGTATCATTTCCAAGCTCTGCATCTCTGAACTTTCTAATTCCCAGACTACCTGAAATTAAAACAGAGTAAGCCAATGCCAGCCCACATAAGTTATGCAGATTGAAGCCTTTTATGCTCAGGATTTCCATGGCAGTTTTGCTTCACTTGTTTTCCAATTGCCAAAGACACAGGAATATCAGGGACTCTTTCACAGCATAAACCCTTGCTTCAAACCATTTCCCTGCTCCTGGATGCCAGATCAACAACACACTGCTTAAAATTCTGTGTGGCTTGACAACTCCCTCTCCCCCACAAGCAATGCAGAGATATAGGAGAAATCCTACTATTGGGAAATCTTCCCACCTTCAACTTTTTAGTGTCTCTGTGACACTGTCAAGTGTTTGACTATTCTCTCCCTCTCTCTCCCCCCCTCATCCATACACACAGACTGTTTTTGCTCCTCGCCTTTTAACTCTGTACTTCCTGACCCGGTTGTTTTGTGCCTGTCACACCCATGGTACACCAACCACAAGGCTCTGGTTCAGCATCCAGGCAGGCGGAAGCTCATTTCACAGGCAGCTTGAGCTGTGCCTCGAATTATTAAAGGGGTGAAGTTGTTTACGCCACCCACTCACGTTAGCCAAGATACATTCATTCTGTGAATTTAATGACGGGACTGAGCGGCAAAAAACTTGTATTTCTTGGAACTTTTGTAAAACATTTGTAAAAATGCTATGTAAGAACAGGAGAGGAAAAATGTGGGAAAAGAAAGGCGATTTTGCTTCAGCCTTTGGTGTGACACTTGTTTTGCAAGCTTAGAAGGTGCCCCAAGCACACCTGATCAGTGGTTTGTCTCTGGCTTTTACATACCTTCCTCTTTTCTCTGAGGGCTGGTTAAATGCCACTTGTTTATTTGACCTAGATTTTCCCCTCACTGTTGTTATTATTAGTGATCTAGAAATATCATAAACTGATATGAACTAAAAAAGCCGCCTTCCAGAAATGGAGAAAAAAACACCAAAAAGGTCTTTAATTAAAAAATAGGGAGAGAAAAAAGCAGAAAGTGTCTCTCATTTCAATCTTTTTTATTTTCTTTTTTCATTTGGGCCTCATGGGCTTGTACTTTTCTGCTTCATATATGGAGTGTGATGCCCTGTTAAAAATAACCCTCCAGCTGCCCATGACAGCTGGAAGTGCCAGAGCACCCCGGGTGGGTCAGTGTGGGGGCGCCTGGGGTGGGGATGGGCGTCTCACACTGAGTCCGCTGACCACAAAAAGCTCTCTCCCCAGTCTGCATAACTCTGTGTCCACCCATGGGCCAAAACCAAAATGAAGCAGCTGCCAGAAGCAGGTGAGTGGAGCATTTAGTGTAAACAGGAATAACAAAAATGCTCCATAAGACAGCACCCTTTTTTCCTTGCCATCCTTGTCCTGCAAGTTAAATAGGTCTGATCATGCTCTTGCAGAAAGGTGCTTCAATCTCTGTTTATAGGCTAAACATCTCACTACAGTCCATCTATCTGGATGAAGCAGACACTGTTGCCTTGGTGATGGGACTTCTCATCCTCTGGCCTGCAGGAAGTAGGCAGACACTTTCTCCAGGAATGTGAGATAGCCAAAAGGACAAGTAGGGCTGGTGGAACCTGTAAACATTTTCAGGACACTGATCCACAGTCTCCCAGCAGTCAGGAAGGAGAAGCTCCCATGTTTGATACACTGCAGGGCTGCTCATCCTTACAACAGCATCCTGAAATATTGGGAACTCATATGCTGGATAAAAAGTAGCCATGTCAAACTCTTTGAGGTGGAAACATAGGAAAAACAGTATCTGTAGATCTCTGAGGTAAGCATCATGCTGGAACACCGGACTGATATGAACACATGAGTATCCTTAGAAGACATCATTCTCTTAAAGTTACACCACTTTGATGTACTCTGTGGGGAGGGATCATACCTGAGGGGTCTCACCATAGTAGGGCTAGACAGAGCATGGAAAGAAACCTGGGCCTATGGGTCACAGACAAGCTGTGACATGGATGTCCCCATGTGACGTTTCGACAAGCCACTGCATTGTACGTCTGAGAGAAGCACAGTGTCTAGTATTGCTTTAGGGAAGGAGAAAAGTTGCTTAACCTGAATTGTTGCTGAATAAAGAGTCTCAACTGTAAGTTAACATCCAAGGCTTTATCCTCAGTCTTCGCTAACATCTCTAACCTCATTATGTGCAGGCAGTGCACATAACCATGTACAGCAGCTACCTTTCGTTTCAGCTAAGCCTCAGAGCTGGTCCCAAACCCCAGAACTAAAGCTCTCTTCTCTCTTATAAAAGACAGGCAGGCTTTACAAGGATGTAAAGGCATCCGGTGCATTTTGAAGCACATCTTAAACATTTGATGCAGTTACTGTTCTCCTAGGAGCCCTGATGGGCAGCAGTGTTGGAATCTATCTGTATGCCATAAGCAGCATGTCAGTCCTGGGCATGGAAAGGGCCCTGGGACTCTGTGCAGTGCAGCATCTAAAATGTGGCTCTGGTCTACTGAACTGGAGAACACACCTAATAAACATAACGAAAAATAAAGCATTGGTTCTGCTCCCCCCCCC